CTTTCTGCTCCTTAAATAAGTATATTTTTGACAAGGAACACACTGAAGAGCCTGTCGGCATCTCATATTGTAAATATTAGCCCATTCCTAAATTCTAGGTATAGGAAAAACTCCATGGCCCTTGTACATATCAATTTCACTTTGAGTACAATGGTAGATTTTTGATATGGAGGCGTGCTAGCCAGCACGTGTAAGAGTTCTCAAAGAGTCTTCTGAAAACATACTACTACCATCCCGTACAGTATCGTGCGAGCAGTTCTTCTCTTATAAAATAGTGCAAAAAATTGAAAGTAAAGTTGAAAGCTCGATTGTGTGGACAATAAAGCTCAGAGACCCCCTTTATTAGGGGGAGAGACTTTTTTTATCACGAATATCAGCTATATTATTAACGAAACTTTGATTTTAAATTTTAAAATTTTGATTTAGTTTTTGGGGTTTTAATTTGAATTTTCTAATCTACTTACTTCATTCTAAAATTTTAAAAGATATGCTACCGAATAGAGAATTGAATTCTCTACACAACGCACTATTTGTTTCAAAATTTGACCATGGGGGAAAATATTTAAAAAAGCTAGAACTTTTTACTATTTTTTGACGAAATTATTTTGAGGCTCTTTTTCTAAGAGAGTTTTAGATATATGTCCCAATCAAAAACTACGGTTTGATGTGAGTTTTTAACTATCGGGAAAAGATGATGAAACCTTCTGACGTAGATGCAAAACAAATGATGAAATTCCGACACGAAGTATAAGTCCGTCGCGGCATGAAGCCGTGATTTGAAGAAAGAGAGGAACATGAATAAAAAATAACTGCGTGCCGCTATTTGTGCCAATTTGTAAAATACCAATTGATGTCAACTGAAAAACAGCGAAACGCGTTTAGTTTGTTGTGTAAATACTCACGACCACCCTCACTGCTCCCCCTCCCCGCGCATGGACACAAAACGGAGAGAGATTCCTCTGTATTTTCTTTCGCGAAAAACTATCGACGAATTGATGAAAGAATAGAACGAATAAAAGCGAAGACACAATTTTTTGTTTTCTTAACCTCATAGAAAAATTTCTTGTCCTTAATATCAATTTGTATTCTGCGAATTCGTAAAAGTAACGGCGAATTGATATGAGAAGTATGCAAAGAGACGAATCTATCTATGTTTAACCTCATAGAAATTCTTCTTGTCCTTGATATTAATTCGCATTTTATGAATTATTAAAAAATAACGGCGAGTTGAGGTGAGAAGTATGCGAATTTACGAATTCTATCTACGAATTCGTCGGATATGCTTTGGCATCTACGAATTCGTAAATTCACATTTTATCGTATTTTTGCCAATTTACGAATTTGTATATGAATTCTTGGTGACCGTGAAATAATCATTTCACGAATTCGCCGATAGTAGGCCAATTCGATTTACGAATTCGCCTTTAGACGCTTTGTCCACACGGGAGCATGCCGATTCGTCCTGGAAAATTTACAGGGCTTTCGTAACCCTAGTATTTATGTAATATCATCTCTCTCAGTCAGATAGTCCATCAGATCACTAACAACACTTCGCAGCACGATTTCACAGGGCTTTCGCTACGATGTGTATAGTTAATTTTTATGGTAAACACACAGCCTAATGATGCATTCATTACACCAGGGCTTTCGTAACTAAGTTTTACAGAGTATTCGTAACCCGATCCACAAACTGATAAAAAACCATTGATGTAAGCATTTTATTCTGTCAGAATACAAAGGGAAAAATATTCTCCATTATAGTACGGATGGCACTTTACCTTTATGTTACTCATAAGTAGTAACGAACTTAGTTACTTCGTTACTTAGTGACTAGTAACGAGTAACTTATTCCGTTACTTAGTTACTTAGTTACTTCGTTACTTTGGTTACTCCTCCAGAAAGTAATGAAAAACCGTTACTTCTGGAGTAGTAACGAAATGAGTTACTCGTTACTACTAACTAAGTAACGAAGTAGTTACTCGTTACTATTAAAGAAATAACTAAGTTCGTTAGAAGTAACGAAGTAACTGACTAGTGAAGTTACCGAGTATCTAGAAAAGTGCCACCCCTACATTATAGTATTCTAAACTAAAAACATTGTCTAATAGTTGAAAATGAAGAGAAAGATGTTCGAATTATTTATTTCTATTTTTTAGTTTTTCTGTTTCTGCCTGTACTCTGCGCTTGAATGTTGTGCTCCATTTGGAAAAATTTTGAAATCAATTTATTGTGTAAATAAAGTGAGCTCGAAAGAGTCTGCTACAATAAAAACTCGGTTTCGTGATTATTAGTAGGGACCAACAAACTGATCTGACTTTGTCCTATTCAATACTCTTTTACTATACACATCGTTGCGAAAGCCCTGTTCATACTCTGTGGCTAGTCTCAATACGAAAGCCTTGCAAAATAAGTTGCGAAAGTCCTGTAAAACACGGTACGAAAACCCTGTTATTGTACCCCGAATGATATCAACAATAATTATAAAATTCTCAGTTGTTTAGCTGAACATTATAATTGTAATGGACAATATGATCTAAGATTAAAATGTGGCAGAGAAGCGTGTAGTATGTATATCAATATGCAGCCTAACAATTTGCGAAGACTTAATGCCAATTTAATGAATATTACACAATCTTGTGTCTGTTTAAATAACTGTAACATCATTAGAATATATGGAAAAAGCAATAAAAACTCATTGATCGAAATGAACTTCAACTCATGGGAAAGTTTCATTTGTATGTTGGCTGTATTCATTTTAAATACGATAATTACTTACATGCAATGAAACATTGCCAACAAGCATTAGAAATATTCAATGAATTTTATCCTTATGATTCATTAGATAGAGCTGAAAACATAAAATCTTATTATAAGATTGATGAATATGATTTGTCTTTTGATTCTTATCAAAAAGCATTAAAGATCAATTTTTCACAAATATCGTCAAAAAATCTAGCACTTACATATATTCACAAGGGATTGATATTAAACGTTAAACACGAGTACGATTTAGCCATTGAATTTTCATAAATCATTAGCAAACATCCTTTATATAACATCTGGTAGCACATCCATCTCACCCACTCCTTGTTTTATTTTTTAAGTGATGAAAAAGGATCAAACGCAGATACAACTTCAGTGTATTGTCAAGATGTCGTATGCTAACTGCACTTTTCGAAAACCCCTACAAAAATCAGAAATCCTTTTCCTCCTTCGTTAAAGGTACTCAGGCCTCTTTTCTGATCCTCTTGACAACCGGGGAAGCCGATAATTGATCGGGTGAAATTTAAATCAAGAATAGAACATCGAAATAGAAAATCGATGTATTTTTTCCGGTTTTCCGGCTCTTTTATGGATTTTGTGGAAAACTCTAATTTTCATCACATCACTACCGATCACATTTTCATAAGCGGTCAGCACATCTTTTGAAAGGAAATGATCTGATTTACCAGATCTTTAGAGAGGAGCCGATATGCTCCAGTAGATCTTTTCAACGGAGCGGATATGTTTGTACAGTTCCTTTGAAAGGAGCTTACATGTTTGAACAGATCTTTTTTAAGGAGCTCATATGTTTAAACTGTTTTTTAATGAAGCTCGTAAGTTTGAAGAGATCTTTACAAGGGCGCTGACATGTTTGAACAGTTCTTTGAAAGGAGCTGATGTGGCTGAACAGATCCTGTGAAAGGCAGGTGATATGTTTGAACAGATCGTCTGAAACGAGCTGATATGTTTGAACAGTTCTTTGATAGGACGTGATATCTTCGAACGGCTACTTTGAACATCTTTTGAAAGGAGCTGATATGTTTGAACACATCTTCTGAAAGGAAATGCCCGATGTAACAGATCTTTAGACGGAAGCTGATATGTTTCAACAGATCTTTTGAAGGAAGCTGATATGTTTGAACGCATCTTTGAAAGGAGCGGATATGCCCTTACATGTCAGTTTTGGCATTATACGTTGTGGTCGGATTTTAGGATCTAAACGTCGTTGTTTGTTGAAATGTCGCTGCTCGGCATTTGCTGAGTTCGGCGCCGGATAGTAGCGATCTCGGTCTGCGTCTTAAAGGAGATCAAATCTGTTATTTGTACGTATGTACTCACCTTGGTGCTGTAGTGTTTGAAGCAGCCTCGCATTGTTCCAGTTTTAAATTCGTAAGTGGCATTACCGGTTTGGGTTGACGCAGTGGGATAGTTGATGGTGGTGGCGGGTTGTATCTGTTGATGTTGGTGTACGCGTTGAAATTAGATGTGGTCCCGGTTTGGAATCGCGGCTTTTTAAGCTTTGTAAACTGCCTGACCTTGTTCGGTTGCTTCAAAATTTGGCAGGTTATTACTGGTAACTGGATACTTAGCTGCGGTCGACGATGTGCATTTTTTTCCCGGCATCATCCATACTGGCAGTTTACTGGCAGTGACACATGAACACACATAATGTACTTTCGTTGAACTATTCTTTTTTCCCATTGAAGAAAGAAAAATACGAAGAACAGATCATTCACTATACAGTCAACTTATGGACAATTGACTAAGCGAAAATCATTTCTTTCTATTTTAACGAAAATTAATATCATTCGTACACTACTTGTAGTGTACGAACCATTCTTTTCAAGAACCATTCTTTTCAGAACCATTCTTTTTCAATTTTCCTCACTCCTAGAAATGAATAAACGAATTCCCGAATAAGGAATAAATGCATTTTCCAATAAATAAATTTTCGAATTCCCGACGCTTAAATGAATTCCCGTCTCGAAAATTCGGGATCTACAGCACTCAGTAGACTGTCTTCACCACTTGAGTCATTGTGAAAGCATGGGCATGATAAACCAGTGCTAGAGAGTGCGAAGTGTAATAACGACCACGATGACGATACATGCAATGAAACATTGCCAACAAGCATTAGAAATATTCAATGAATTTTATCCTTATGATTCATTAGATAGAGCTGAAAACATAAAATCTTATTATAAGATTGATGAATATGATTTGTCTCTTGATTCTTATCAAAAAGCATTAAAGATCAATTTTTCACAAATATCGTCACTCCATGTTTGAATATCATTCTTCCTCTTCATGCACCAAAGTAATGCTTCTCCACGTAAAAATGTTGGAACCCAATCTAATTTTTCATGTTCTGGACAGTGGGCCAACTTGAATTTAACTGTTACCGTCTTCACCCAGTCAGTAATATTTTCCATTTTGCTACCAGAAAATTTTGGTTTTTGTGTTTCCAACGTTTTCCGGAGTAGATTGGCTATAATCTGGTCAATCATTGTATGATCCATGTTGTTTTCTACTAATGTTGGCTCGGATTCTATTACTGTGATGTTGTCTAGACAGTAATCCGGCTAGTGCACCAATGTTAGGTTCGCGAGTGAACTAAGATCTTTCTCACCTAACGTTTATTTACAAAATGAAAAATATATCCTTTTAAAAATAAATTGATCTATTTATATAAGAAAT